TCTCTGCGATGTTCTGTTTAAACACACACACACACACTCTGGAGTTTTCCGTGATCCAATCGTCAGCCGATGCTTCTTGTGAATTTGCCAGGAAAAGTTATGAGCGGGGTGGGCTGTGTACTGTTAAGTCACGCTGGCTGCAGTAATCGCTCCTTAATGAGAGGAAGTTCTAATGTTACTGAAGCACACGGCAGGGGAGGATGCATTAACAGCTGAATATGATACATAAAATCCAGTCTCCTCTTTCCCTTGTGTCACAGGATGGTGGGAAACCATTGCGTATAAGACGGCATTAACTAGTGGGCTTTCTTATTTCTGGAGACGTGATCTTGAGAGTGCACCGCGTGCCAGTGAACTTTTCCTGTCCAAACATATTTCCAAAGTAAACTTGGCCCGTTGGCTATTAATTTAAGATGGAGAGATATGCTATAACATGCAGGCCTGCAGCCCCGGAGATCACCGTCAGCAACCAAGTATTCTCTCAGGAGGAGGAGGAGGAGGAGGAGGAGGGCACGCTCAGTCTGACAGTGAGGCATGTCTCTCCTCTATGTTACTATACCTCATTTAACCAGGCAGGCTTACAAGAATACATTGTTATTTATAATGGTCTGAGGAAGGGGCTGCAATAGGATAGTGGACCACATCCAGCACTTCCCAGAACAAACACTATATTGTACTGCAGGCCAGTGACCAGCTCCACTGCAGCAGCTGAGGGTTTAAGCATGAAACACTCCTGCACAGATCTGCACGAGGACAGTGTTGCATTTACCAAAGCAGCCTCACGCAGCAAATAAGGAACTCAGTCTCAAGAAATGAATCGAATGCACTGCAATAAAAACGTATAGGCCAATAAAATAAAAGAAACCATCTGTGTACTTTTTGCTATTTGGCTGCTCGTTTTACTGTTGGCCCAGCCTCAGTGCTACTGGATAGACTTCACCGCTCACACAATCAGTGTTTTCTCGTGCAGAGACTGTGTTTGTGGCTGAGATTTTGCAGTTGTGCAGGCAGAGAGATAAAACAGTTAACCTCTAACTCTCAACCTCAAGCCGGTGGCATTTTAGATGGATGCGTTAAGCCGTGGTGTGTGTGAGGATTAAGGGCTTTTTAAACGGTTTAAGTCTGTTGAGAGTCTCGTGAGTATTCCCTGGAAGCGTCATGTACTGTAGGCAATGTGACGATCTGATTTTATATTGTGATGGATCTTGAAGACGTCCATGATCTACTGTACGTGGTCTACGTTCACAACTCAACTTCCTACTAGACAGCTGTGCTCATCAGCCAGTTTATATCACGTGTCTATCAGAGGATCTCTGTTATGTGTGACGTGACTGAAAAACAATTCAAAATGAGATAGCAGCATAGCAAAGGAGGATCCGCTTCTAAAAAAAGGACTTGACGTCAGTATGGTGGCAGTGGGCCCGACTATGCACACTAGAGATATTTCTGAAAGCAAACTTATCTGTAAAAAAATTTTTCGGGCAACAGTTGGCACTTCTGATGGTAATGCGATAAATCTGATCTCAGGTCAGTGCAACCCCACTCGTGTGTTTCTCATGAGGTCCCGAAACATCTGTAGCTATACACAACATTGAGCAGTTGGCTCTGATACTAGCATTAAACTAGATTGTGTTCAGGATTCATCTTACTCAGCTCCCCTGTCCTCAAACACCGGCCCAGACCTTTTCTTGCGGCCTGAGCAGAGCGGCGACTTGTGGGAACCGGCAGCGGGCCGTGTCGGCCTGCAGCGCCTCGAGATGCTGGGAGAGAGGAGAGGATTGTCTGAGTTCAGCAGACTGAGGAAAATGGACCGGATCACCTCTCACTAGTGGACTTAGAGTTCTGAGCTCCCACTCCTGCGTAATTACTTTATTTTCTGTGCACTTTTACACGTGCACCGCTGTGCACATGAATGACAAAGCTGACCACTGACCGCCTCTTATTTCCGTGCAAGTGCGGGCGTGCTCGCATATGAAAGTACCTGAATGAGTAAGGGCAGAGACATTGAGTGCGAGGATCAGGTTCCCTCACCGGCTTACTTTCACCTCTAATAGAGCTCCATTGCCATTCCACTGTGGTGGGAGGTGGGGGGTGGGGGTGGGGGGGGGGGGGGGTGCAGGGTGCAGTGCAGTCCCGAAAACAAAGCCGCCGCTGTGTGTGCGCAGACCCCCCAGAGTGACCCTAAACCGTACGCGCAGTAATGGGCTACTTTAAGAGTTTGTCTGGCTCTAATACACACACTTGTACACTGCTCCCAGCCTCTAAATCTCCAGGATAAGACTGAGTGTGCAGAAAATGCTGTCATGCCCTAATGTGGCTCACAAAGAGCACAGTAGCTCAGCCTCTCTGAGCCTTTCCTGTTTGAAAACGTAATCTCCCGCAGCGAGTTTGTAGCATGTAGTGTAGGGATCTTTTTCAAATTTAACCAACCTTTGTTTTTGCTCATTTGAAACTTAGCTTAGTAAAAGTAGCTTAGCAAAAACCTCCTTCTGGGAATTACTTTAACACTTTAACACAATCCTACAAATTCCTCTTTATCTTCTCTACATAGACGCCACAAGAGCCTATCCTCAGCATCATCTTTGAGCAGCTCAGTCTCTCTGACTGTGGCCCGGTGTTTGCCTGGCACCAGCCTCAGTCCAGGGACCTGCTGGGCTTGTTTTCCACAGACAGCCTGACCTCCACAGCGGCGTAGAGCTCAGTCTGCTGCTGTTATACATCCCTCCATCAACATTTCATACTAGCACAAAGCCATGTGCCCCTGCCTGAGGCGAAGGTTGACTTTGGGGTCTGAGATGAGAAAGGCTGACAGAATAGGGAATGATGTAGAGTCGGTGGAACGCCTTAAGTCTTTTATTTTTCATTTCAGCAGTTTCGTACTTATGGTGTCAGAAGGCCCAGTGGCATTTAGGCTTTGGCTTGGGCTCCAGATGTAAATCCTGTGCAGCAGTGCCTCTACAGAGCCCTGAAGAGTCTTAAATGGTTTAAGATACTTGAGCTCTGATTCATCCAGTCGTAATGAAAGAGCAAGGGGAATTCTGCAGGTGTGATTTCTTCAACCACACCATCATCTAACAGGCGTAGCTCTCTTGTGATGTAGCCTACATCACAATTAGATACAGTGGATAAGGTGCGAGGAAAGACGTGCCATTAAGAGTTCATTACAGTGAGCCATGTTTTTGCGGTGATGTAGAATTTGGACAAGCTGCGGAGTACATCCACACCAGACTGTGTGTGCATTATCAGATGATTGTGAGATTAGATTACATATGTTTGTTTCTTAACGTGCAGCTCTGTATGGGGTTTGCTGTTGCTATGCACTGTTCACATTCCCTCCTCAGCTGACAGACGGTCCCATCCAGCCTCTCTCTCCGACAACAAACACACACTGAGGAGTCGCTGACAACCTGCTTCAGGAAGGGCTTTGACCGGCCCTTGGAATGTGTGTGTGTGTGTGTGTGTGTGTGTGTGTGTGTGTGTGTGTGTGTGTGTGTATGTGTGTGTGTGTACAACTCATTCTTATCCGGTCCTGTGTGTTTCACTCTATCCCCACACACACATAAACACAGCTAGAGTGTATTGGGACTCATCATTCAACTTAAGTCTCCAACAAAAATAATCACAGGCTCCGACCACATGTTGCCGCTCCTCTGCGCTGGGCTCTGACAGCTGTCAATCACTCTGCTGACCTGTAAACATTCCTTCAGTGGGCACAGTTATTAAATCAAACTGTACAAATATAGCAAATCTAATGCTATTAATCTTTGCTTATTGACGTAACCCCGCGTTAAATTTAGATCTGGCTGGAAAGACTGGTAATATCAGATTCCATAGGGAGACTGTTTAAAAAGGTCTCTATTTTAAGGCCCAATGGTGGACATGTTGATGGCTTTGCATGCTTTGGTGTCCAGACCTCTTCCTCAGAACCACCTGACAACCTCGCAGGAATGTTTCCCAGTCACTTCAAACACACTGAATATGACCGCACATGCAGAGCTTGCAAAACATATGGCTGTTTGTCAACCGTCCAAAACATTTTGTCTTATTTTTAAAAGTCTCGGGTGTTGATTTTGAAGTCCCAACACCTCCCACGTTGACGACGTTTCACACTTCCTTCCTTTTAATCATACACCGGCACACCTTTGTTCTGATATGTCAAATGTAAACAGTCAAAACAAACTGTTTCTGACAGTTTGTCCTCTGGTTTCTCTCCACCACATTTTGGCTGCTAAATCAACACAAAGCTCAAACTGTGGTTCCCTGTTTCAGCTCTTTGTGGTGGTCTGCTGGTCGTAGAATAAAGCTAAACAGTGAAACAGGGACTTTCCTGCTGTTCGACTGAAACCTCAGTGTATGTGAATGCCACCCTCTAATGCCTCTCCCCTATAGATAGTGGGGGAGTGTGTTTGTCTATGGCGTGGCATGGGGCCTGTGCTGTCTTAGCGGTGGCCTCTCTGCCCTGCCTGTACACAGTCGCTGAACCAAGAAGAACATATCAAACAAACACTCCAACACAGAGCAGGAGGAAGATAGGGTTACTCTCGACATGAGGGGACGTGTTGACTGCATTGTGATACCAAAGGCGCGCACTCCTCTGACCTTCAGAGAGTGGCGTCCAAACAGGGATGCAAGAGTTTAAATCTACCTCAGTAAATCCACTTTACCCTAAACAGTAAACCTCATATCTAACTGTCAAACATTTTTATTTTTCCTGACTTCTGCCTGGAAGTCACAGACAGCCGATGATGAGAGACTCTCTAGATCTTCTGATCCACTCAGGCGGTATTAAGACATCAACACAGCGTGACAGACACTCAGTAGCACTTGTCTCTAATGTGCGGTGTTAAGTTACAACAGTGTTGGTGGAAAACCATCAGATAACTCCACACGGGCATGCAGGAGTGGCATGAGGAATGTGTCAGTTGCGCATGCATATGTGGGAGAAAATATGCGTGTGCACCACAGCTGTCATTAATGGATATATTCCTGTCTCCAAACAGAGCTGAGATCCACCGGTACCGCTCATCACTTCGCCTACCTCCTCAACACGTCCGACTACCGGATCCTGCGTATGGACGAAGACCACGACCGCATGTATGTTGGCAGCAAGGACCACATCCTGTCCCTGGATCTCCATGACATCAACAAGGACCCACATATCGTAAGACCCATTCCCACTTTCCCGCCCCCCCCCCTTAACTTAAACTCCTCTGGCCTCTTAAATGGGCCGTTACACTGGGATGAAGCAAATGGCTTTTACCTCACTGCTTACAGCAGCTGCCCCCAGGGCAAAATGTTCTATTCTTTTGCCCCATAGACAGCAGCCATTTTGGTTAGCTCACATTTAGTTTTTGTTGTCATTAAAAGTGTAATTGGGTTATGACAATCCTAACAGGACTAATATTAGCCTGGGTGGATTTCCATTTGCAATTTAACCTCCTAAATCTCATAAATACCGGTGATGTATAACAGTATGGATTGTAACTATAAAACGTCCTGTGTTTCCCGCCCTCGCAGATCCACTGGCCAGTGTCCGAACGAAGAAGGATGGAGTGCCTTGTGAGCGGGAAGGACGCCAATGTAAGTACGCGTGCTGACAGCGTGCGCAGCCTCAGCAGGGTTGTTCAGCTGAGATGATATTCATCAACTTGATAGCTTGAAGAAGTAAAATATATAGTTTTTCAAAAGCGCTGCGTTCAAAGCATACAGCTACCTCCATCGTGCCTTTAGGTTTTAATGCAAGGAACCTGCTTGAATGGCACTCACCTGTGGGGCTCAGACTTGGCCCAGTAAAATCGCTGGTTCCCTTCTGTCTAGCCAAATAGACAGGAATGGATGGAAGCAGAGGAGCCAATCTCACCATCCTCCTCTGTGCCAGGCCAGGGTGGGAAGCACAACACCACTGGCTGATAGTTTGATATATTGTCCAAATATAGTTAGAAGCACAGTGTTACTGGTGTATTTTAAATGAGAGTCACTCAGCCTTAGCTTTCGGTAAATCTGCAGGAGGTGTACCAGTAAAATAAGGCCGTGACTGCGCCTATTAGATGTTTATTGCAGCTTAATTTACTCCAGTCTTTGTGCTTCCAGGAGGAGTGTGCAAACTTCATCCGTCTGATCGAGCCCTGGAACCGGACTCAGCTGTACGTCTGTGGGACAGGAGCTTACAATCCAGTCTGTACCTTTGTCAACCGTGGACGCAAACCTCAGGTTAGGACCAAAGACCTGAACAATGTACAGGAGAAGGTGATATCTCAGCGGCTTTCTCCATCTGCATCGTGAACAGCATAGCTCGGCCTCCCTTTTTCTTTCTCTTACCCAAGCTCTTACTCTCCATCCACCTTACATTTGGTTCACTTTACAATGATTTTCCTCCATCATTAAGCCTGCTCATGGTACCTTGCCTCTGCGTCTGGCAAAGCAGCTAACACAGCTTCACCAGCACACAGCTGTCGTCCCCAATGAGCTGTTAAAGCTGTTCTGTTTAGTCTCAGCCTCTAATGGGACCTCTTGAATTTCCTAAACCAAGCCAGGCATCACTACCTCGCCATACTCCCCTTTAACACCTCACTCTTCTTTAAATATCACACTTGTTCCCTAATGATGACCAGGGGACTTTTAAAAAAGGGATAAATAAAAAGTAAATTTCCCACTGGACTTTCCCTCGAGATCACAAAACAGCGCAGAGAACATGCACCCGCAAGCGCGGCTTCCACGAGCCCCTTGTTGCGTACGGATCCTAAATGACCCCATACTAACGAAGGGCTTCCATCCATTCACTCACCTATCCATCCGCCCCTTCATGCATCCATCCAGGCCACCCGCCAGCCTCTACCATGTGAGACGTTGGGTAATTGGAAGTGGGAGCTCCCATTATGGGGTGCCAGTGGAATGTTCCAGTTCTAGTCCATTAATGAGAGGGCTGTTATTTTCTCCGTCACATTGAACAGACAGGTCTGAGCCGTCCCCCCGCGAGCACCTCTCTCAGCTGGGCTGGGGGGGTGGACCATGATTGCAAAAAAAAAAATTTAAATGATAAACTGCAAAGACACACCCAGACACACATAAGGAGAGTTTCTTTTTTTTTTTTTTTTGTCATAGTTAATTCAACATTGACATGGATTGTTGTCATATGATTAAACCGCTGCAGGGTATATCCACAGGGTACGTTCTCAAGAGCCTCAAGTATGAGTCTTGTAGCGTTTGTAAACTGTAACAGTTGAATGTTTTACTTTGGCAGCAGCTTTGAAGGGAACGTATGTAGCATACTGTGAGAGCCTTTAGTGACTCAACCACAGGATACAGAACTATTATTGTTGCCTTTTCCACCATCTGGTCAAATAAAGCTACACACATTCCCCACACAATCTTGCACACACACATGCATACACACCATTTCCCTCATGCACTTATGCATTATATTAATTTCAGTAGTGTTGGTTCGGGGAGTTTCTCACCGTGTGTAGAAGTCAGGACAGATTCATGCGATCTGCAGGGAGGTCAGGAAGAAGGTCCTTACTCCTTCGTCATCAGTGGCGTAACATCCAGACTGTGTTGCTGTCTCCTGTTTTAGACGTCCATGTATCTACAGATGGCCCAGGCCAGAGGAAGGGCTAGCCGCGCAGCCGAACCCAGCGCGGTGCACGAGACACTCGGACTAAAGGTGCGATGTGGGCCCTGTCTGCACCGCAGCCCTGCGTACTGCCTGGGCTCGTGGTCACCAGCAGCATGTTCCCTGTCTTTGTGTCTGAGCTCATTTTTGTCAACACCATCTTTAACTTGACCATCGTTTGTTTTATCTCCGTAACATTTAGCATGCATCCTTTCCAGTCCGTGCACAATCTGTTCAGTTTTTGTGTCATGTGGAAATGCATTTAATTACATGTCATTTTCTCACGTGTTTCACTCATATTTTCTTTGTGTGAGCCTCATTGTCTGAGAAACCTTTTCTTATCCATCATTGTCCTTTTTGTGCTTTTGCGTTTGTGCTAAATGCCATATTTTGCATGAGAGCGGGATTTTCAAGTGGAAATGGCTTCTCAAAATTCTGTTGACTTTTGCTGGGCACACATTTAATTACACAGGCTTTCACTCCTGTTTGACGCATGGCATATTCATTATTTATTTAGCGTATATATCTGAATGGACATGAACAACAAAGCAGCCTAATCATTCATCCCGCTTATCTGAGACAATGCAGGATGTCCCACCCATCAGTCCCTCACCCCACCGAGCCCTCCACCTTCTGTAGGAATGTGGTGCAGTCGCTCCCACAGAGGCGGCAGGACTAGTCAGCATCTGACCCACTCCCACAGCAGGCTCTGTTAGCCCAGAGCAAACACCAGCCATCTGTAGCCAACTAGCTGTGCAGCAAAGGAAATAAAAGAGCCACATACTTGAACATGTCTCCTCTGTTTGATCACTCCAAGCACTTTGAAACTCAGAAAGGGACTTTTGAAGGGCGTAAAAGCTTCAGGTGAAGTGGGACACTTTTAAAATGTTGCAACTTTTTTTCTTCTCTGATTTTTTTTTAACTGATTTTTTTTTTTTTTTTTAAATATGTTGCAACTTTTCTGAAGGGTCATATTTTACCAGCAGGGTTGTAAAAACATGTGCAGGGCACAGTTTCCCTCCGGTACACATAAATGCTTGTGACCTTTTTTTACACGTCAACATCTGGCGTGGCTGCGAGTGAGCTGCCAGCACCTTCGCATTTGCACATGTGGTGATTTTAATCAAAGATGAGTAGGGAATTGAGCAGGGCTGTGTGTATGATCCAATGAAGTGAGTTTGGCACAGTGCCATATTCTCTCCCCCGATTTAGTGCTGATGGACAATGACAGAGATGTCTCCGTCTCTGTCCCCGTTGGGAGTGAAAAATGGCGATCGGACATGCTCCGGCCTGCGAGGCGGGGCTACAGGACATGTCATCGCATGCCACTGATTCATTTTCCCCTTCTCTCATGCACAAATTCCTGCCTATCACCTATCAGTGCTTGCGTGCAGCGATGCCACGAGCTGTGAGCATCAGTCATCCCAGCCTCCATCCCAGGCTTGTTTTCACTGTGCTGGATTACAGGTGTCAGCAGCAAGACTACACAGCCATAGGCACAAAGAAGCTGAGAGATATTTGGCATGCAGCTTATTATGCCAGGAGAAGCGGCCCACAACACATTGTTTTCCGCAGTAGAGTGGCATGGAGATGGATTAGGAATTCCTCGCTTTTCTCGCATGTATTTTTCTGTATGAACGCACGCTCATTATTCCAATACTTCATCCCCCATCAGGCCGTATAGGTCCCACAGGAGCCAGAGGGAGCTCATTTAGCCTACACAGGGGAATCACAGTGACAAGATGAAGAGTGCTGAATTTATTGCTATCTCCATATGATTTTTCCATTTCAGGAAGAAATCTTCCATCTGGAGCCAGGCAAAGTGGAATCTGGGAAGGGAAAGTGCTCCTACGACCCGAAGCTCAACAGCGTGTCAGCTTTGATCAGTGAGTATCGTCTGGGTTTGGTCACTTGAGGACACAGTCCAGCCCAGCTCATTTTAGGTCTTCTTAGGCAACGGCGGTCTCATCCCATATGGATTCTTCATCTTTTATCTCCCGTTTCTTTATATGACCCTTGCTCTGCTTATAATTTATATTTTTTTTGTCCAGAAAGGTCAAGCCAAGCGTCCTCTTTCATTCTGCGCCGATTTCCCACAGTGAGCTGCTTAGTCTAATCAGCCTAATCATTAAATCCTAAGGAATTCTTCCTTGTTAGGGTGGAGCAGAATAACATGTGCCTATTAATATGTGAATCATTCACAGGGGAATTAATGGTTTGCAATCAAAATATTTGGGAAAAGCTTTTTAGTGATTATGTCACTATTTATAGATAAAACAAAAATTCTTTATTCCCATATTTACCAGGGTTCACACAGTCTTTTTTCCCATTGAGTATTGAGTATTTTCACATTTTAATGGTCAATCACATACTTACAAATCATCACGATTAAAGGAAAAACCTGAATAAATGAGTAGAGAAACATAACAAATGTAGATAGTTCCATTAAAGGCCGTTACTATATCTCAACCCAGTTGAGATTTTGAACTGACGTGTTAGACAACACTCCTCACCACCATCATCATCAGCCATCCCACCAGCAGGCTTACACAGATTTGGAGAATCTAAGCAGCACTGAAGCTTCTCTGGAAGCCTGTGATATTCGAGGAAAGTCAATGGACCAAAATATCAAAAATAAATCAGGTGATCTACTTTAATTGAGTAACACCTCTGAATATCTCCATTTTCACTCAGTATCTATCCATCATGATTCAGTAAAATAATATGTAACAAGGCCCAGTCTGGAAACTGTAACTTATCATCTGCTGTAGTACTCATGAAGTCAGTGTCCTCTGTCCCTTTGCCCAAGGTCACTCAGTCAGGTCCAGACCCCACAGTTGCCACCAGTGAAAGCCGATCTCTCTGCGGGGTGAGACAGCGGGTGTAAATCACTGGCACTGCTTTCCCACATTAGCACAGTGCCAGCTGACCAGTATGGAACCAGTGCTGTCATCCAAGATGGATTTAACTCCCACCTCCACCAGTTAGCATCGTACAAGGGACGCTGTTGTTAGTGTTGATAGGGATTAAGAACCCTGTACCACAGCAATAGATTTACCACTGACCACTTACTGCTCAGCTCTCCACCACATTAGACATCCCATCATCCATGGACATTTTAATGATGTGTCATCAATCTCCATGTAGCTCTGCCGAGGACCATGACATTGAATATAATGGTGGTAGGACAGTGTTTTTTGTTTCCTCTGCTCTACCTCCTGCTGTCTCTGTACTCCATCCTAAGAGCTCTGACAGTCACACCTGCTCTCCAGTGGGGCCCTGACAGCAGCTGGAGGACCAACACCTTGCCTTCCTGTGGCTTAACAAGGCTGTTGTGTACATTTGTCAGTCTGCACACATGGATGTGCTCATATTTTATGTGTTTATGGAGTGCAGGTGAGGGCTGTGTGACCGCTGGGTTCTGTAATGATATATTTTACATCTCCTCTAAGTTTTTAATGATAGTCTCAAAGAAAGAACAATGTAAAAGGAGACTGAATACGAGGAAAATAAAGGGAGGCAGTCAACGTACTGCACTTATTTTATTTTTTAAGGCGAGAACCAAATGAAGAGCCAGAAAATGATTAAGTGGTTAAATAGTCAGCAGAGGTTTACTAGCAGTTGTCAGTTTCCACAGGAAGTTCCTTGAAAGAAATGCTAAACTCTTAATGACAGGAGAAAGCAACAGAGATCAGCTTTAATCCCAGAAAACATTCATTCATTATTGAAAACTTAATTGTGTATATTTGTTAAGTTGAGGCCTAATTCTTGTCTGCAGTGACAACTACAACAAAATGTCAATGTTTTACTCAGCTCACCTGCTGTGCACTGATTAAAACTTAGGTAAAACTTAGTAAAAGAAGTTCCTGCCATTATTAAATTGAATTAAGGAAGTGTTAGGGATGATTAAGCAGTGTGTTTATCTGCTCTTACATAAGCCACAAATGTAAGCATGTCTGGCTAACTGGCTTACTTCCTGCACTTAAGTAACTTAATGCTATTTCTGAAGGTAAAGGGCATGTTATTAGTCAACTACATTATCTGGACAGGTTAAAGGTCACATTATAAAGGTTATTTGTTCAGGACTGGAATATCGGACTTGGTTGATCCTCATAATCAAATACTTTTATTTTGTAAATCGCTGTTTGACATAATTGCTTGAACAACAGTTCAATCACAATTTTACTATTATAATTTATTAGGATTATATTTATTATTATTATTATTATTATAATTATTATTATTATTATTTGTACTGTGCTAACTGTGGTATTTCTATCATGAAATACATGAACAATGTTGTCCTTTATTTCCATGAATCATCACTTAGTGACTTTTTACCTTCCGTATTACATGTTGCACATTGTGTACAGGCTTCTTGTTTTAAAATGAGTTAGATTGAAACATTAAAATGTTGGCTGGAAACAGACTTCCATACTTTTGTCATTAGCGTGGGTTTCATCTCCGCTAGCTAGCTACAGGTAATAATTTGTTTGATTGAAATGAGGAGCTTGCATTAGTTTACTAATCATGTGCTGTGGTAGAATAGGAAGAAGGAAAAGACTGACAGGTGTAGTAACAGTAATGAGCAGGGGCAGGCCTTAGCAAATAGTCAAATAAACACAGTTTCCAATTTCCCAGTAGTTAATAACAAACGACATGGTCCTTTCCAGAAAACGTTATTAAAATTAAATCTCAGTTCTTTTGTAGGAAATTTAAGGAAACTAAAGTGTCATAAATTATGAGAATGTTAATTATGAATAAGGAGATGAAAATAATAATCCTGACCACTGCGTGTCTAGATGAAGGCTAATGTGTAAATGATTATGTTTTTTTTTTAATGGAATGAAGAGTCCTGTGATATTCGGCTCTAAATATACTTTTTGAAACAAAACCTTTGGTATTTAGTGTCAAGGGTGGCGTTGGAGAAATGTCAGACCCAAGGAATTTCGCTAAACTGAGCTGTTTTCTCTCTTTCTCAGATGGTGAACTGTATGCTGGGGTCTATGTTGACTTTATGGGAACAGACTCTGCCATTTTCCGTACTTTGGGGACAAAGACTGCCATGCGAACAGATCAGTATAACTCCAGATGGCTGAATGGTAAATGTGCTATTTAGCCTGTAAACGATACATAGGGCCTTCATCCAGTTTATACATAGTTTTCTTGCATGACTTTATAATATATAATCCAAACACGGCTCCAAATGCAGAGCTGAAATGTAAAGATCCTGGTGCACGCATGTGTTTACAGTCATTCAACAAAACAGGAAATGCTGACAGTTTAGTCATGATTTCTTCTCCCCACAGACCCCACTTTCATCCGCGTTCACCTCATCCCCGACAGCGCGGAGAGAAATGACGACAAGCTGTATTTCTTCTTCCGGGAGAAGTCCTCCGAGATGGGCCAGAGTCCTGTGACCCAGTCCCGCATAGGACGCATCTGCCTGGTGTGTACACATTGAGGAGTGTGTTTATTTTAGGGTGTAAACATAATGAAAAGAAAACCTGCATCGATATGGAAAACAGGCTCGAGTCTCCTGAGGCGAGTCACCCACTGCGCTTGAATGTTTACGGGCGCGGGACAAGTATTTGGCCAACGCTGATGTGCTGGAATCCACATGTGTCTTTAACCCTCCTGTCTACAATGAATCCCTCTGTCTGTGAGGTTGCCCTCTGAGCTCTGACCCCGTGATCTCCTGACCTCTTCTCCCTGGTAGCCCTAAAACACTTGAAGCTTTTAGTGTACAGAGAAGAGAAAAACTCGCTGCCCCTTTTTTAAGTCCTGTTAAACTAGACGCCCTCCACAAAGGCCTGTGTGCCGTAGAAATACAAAGCGAGCAACAAAATGTCTCAGAGCTCAAGCTTGCGGGGCATCTTTCTGAGCCGACAGTGTGCGTGCGCTGTAGGAGAAGGCGTGCGTGCATGTGTGAACATTACAGTGGGTATATGAGTACGAGTATGAGTGAAAAAATGTGCCGTACGTGTGCTCGTCGCCTCAGCTGTTCACCGTTGTATTTATTTGAGGGGGTCAGGCGCTGACCCGGCACACAAACACTCATCCCTCTCTCAGCGGGCTCGGCCTCGGCCTCCAGAGACCCGGGCCCGTCATTCTTACTTCGCCACACATCTGGATACTCTTACTGCCATTCTCTGCACCCTGAAACACACTCAGCCGTACTGTAATTACACTGCAAAGTATGGAAACATTTCCACTCCCAAAAGTGCACAACCTCCCTCCTTTTTAAATTGAAATATGAAAATATATGTGATTTCTCATCAAAGTGTGACATTCTCTGAAGATGGTGGCTCTGGAAGCACATACTGGTCTCCGCTCTTTCTTACTGGGATGGATTCTGGCCTCGCTCCAGCACAGATGGACGTGTCTAAATAGGAGGAGACAGTGTTTACCATCTCATCCCCCCTCCCTCCTTTTAGCTTCCCGGTTTTGCAAACCAACATGTATAGTGTGTGTGCGTTTGTGTGTGTGTGTCTGTCTGTCTGTCTGTGTGTGTGTGTGTGGGTGGCTCCACCTGGGTTTGTTTTCAGTAGGAGGACAGAGGAGGATGTGAGTATGAGCGAGTGATGGAGAAACTGTTCTGTGTCTACTTCACCCTTTCAAATACAGAATGATGACGGAGGCCACTGCTGTCTGGTCAACAAGTGGAGCACCTTCCTGAAGGCCAGGCTCATCTGCTCGGTGCCCGGGGCCGACGGCATGGAGACGCACTTCGACGAGCTCCGTGAGTACAAAACCCTTTGGACCAGATCATGCTGTGGTTCCTCTAACTGTTTTCAGCTGAAAGGGTGATGGGTAGGTCACTTGGTGTGGGTGTGTGTGTGTGTGTGTGTGTGTGTGTGTGGGGGGGGGGGGGGGGGGGGGGGGGGGTGTATTGACTTCCTTGTCAATCAAACATGCTGTCAGCACTGTGATGTCTTTTTCTTGGATTTTTCTTTTTCTGACAGATTACATCAAACACATCAAGGGCTGCAACAAACAATTGATTTCAAAAAAATTGATTTCTATAAAATGTCAGAAAAAGGTAGAAAGTCCAAAACCCAAACAAATTTAGTTTACTATCATATAAGACAAGGAGAAGCCTCAAACCACATTGGAGAAGCTAGAACAAGAGAATCATTGGTGTTTTTGCAAATAAAATACCTATACATGCTTTTGATTATCAAACCAGTTTCCAATTATTTTTTCTGTCTATCCACTAATCGACTACTTTTTTCAGCTCTTAACACCTTATTTCATGAGATCTATATTATGTTATGTTATAAATGGATAAATGTAAATGATTATGTCAATCAGTGAAGTAGTACATTTTTTTAACAAAGAAATACCACTTTTTCTATAGGATTAATAGTATTATTAGTATTATTAATACATCCTTAGCCAAGACCTTTTGTTCCACCCTGTTTTTTAAAAGAAACCAAATCTCTTCTTTGTGTCGTTAATCATTTTGACAGTCGGTATCGAATGGCAAAGAAAAAGTACAAAAATGACACGACTGGATTTATCTCAGACATATTCATTTTCAGGTTCCTGTCATGTATGATCACATCTGAAATATTAAGTAGAGAACAGTCCACTGCAGGGTCTGATGTTTCTACTACAGCACCTGCCAAGGGTGTACTATACACACACAGACACACACACACACACACACACACACCAGAGCTCAGTTCTTCGCCCATATGGCAACCCACTCCCATCATATGGCCCAGCATTACGGCATACTGTAATGTGAATGACACACGCGCAGTCCCACTGCTGTAGTTGTCATTTTCTTTCAAGATGTCTTAAACAAAAGTGTCTGTTTTTTTATGTGTGTGTGTTAGGGGAGGGAGGGGGAGTGGCCTGATGGCGGGGAGATCAGATCACCGAGCAGGAATGTCTGTGACTGTGTGAGACTATGAGCCTCTCCAGAGGAATCTCTTTCTGTCTCACTGGTTTAAAATAGAGCCACAGAGTGATAAGGGACTGATGCGTGAGGCTACTGTTACTCTGAACTAATCTCAAGAATGAAAAGTGCCATGACTGTTGAATCTGATGATAGTTATTTTTTGTCTCTTTATCTCGCTGAGGCACTCCTTGCTTTTAACTCAACCTACCTGTCGTTCTAAAAGCTGTTTTGTTTTGTTCAGCAACTGCAAAAGTGACACACACTCGAAAAACTCTGTGGCCTTTTCGTGTGTGCGGCCACTTCACCAAAATGGCGTGAAAGCGGTTCTGAGTGGGAATGGGCTCACTTTGCCATTACGAATGGGGGTTGTGTCTTTACAGGTCAGGTCAGTGTTGACACAGGCGTGCGGTGCGGAGCGGCTCTGTGAGAGGGCTGGAGAGTCGTGATCTGTTGGAGCTGATGAGGATTGTCAGGATATTGCCTGGATAAGGCTGTAAATGTGTAGCGGAACAGACTGGTGAATGAAGAAGGACAGGCATGACAGCGTAGACATGTCCAATGAGAAGGAGAGACACATGCACACGCCAGTTTGCGGAGCAGCCACCCCTGCCAAGGACTACTAGAGGGGACAGTAAATTGGATATGATTGAGTTTCATGCTAATGGCTTCACATTTACTGTCTAGTTTGAATGTTTATAAAGCTCTCTCACTGGAGGGTTTGTCTTTACAGAGGAAAGTAGAGATTTTAGGATTTCACAAGGGCAAATGCGTCTTTAACTACTGCGCACTAAATGTAGGTCATTAAATGATTAGTTTGACATTTTGGGAAACACGCTTATTCGCTTTCTTTTGCCAAGAGCTAGATGAGAAGATTGATATCACTCTCATAGTTGAACATGACGCTACAGTCAGCAGCCGGTTAGCTTTTAGCAAAGAGACTGGAAAGTCGGGCAGCAGCAAGCCTGGCTCTGTCCAGAGGTAACCAAATCTGCAAAGCTCATTGATTAACCCTTCATGTCTTGTTTGTTTAATCTGCTCAAAAACCAAAACGTTTCCCTGCAACCAGGAGAGGAAATCACTGCGCCTGACCAACAAATATTTCCAAACATAACCTCCGGTAAAATCACAAATTGTGTGTTTTATGCTTCAGTCGTATGGATTAAACAAACAAGCTCTACTGTGTTCATTTGAGAGTTTAGAGGTGCTGGTAGGGGACAGAGCCTGGCTAGCTGGTTCTCTCAGTTTCAAGCCAGGACAAATTTGGAAAGTTAAGTTCGCAACATTTTAGTTAAAAAAAAATCTTAAACATTCCCCCTTTCTTTAAGAATTTTATTAAAAATGACTTTACAAGTGATTACTGAGAAGCTTGTTGAAATGTCCAGACCAGCTGTATTCCTGGCCTGGTAGTCTCATGTAGAAAGACATTGTGGCAAAGCACGCCTGAGACCTGGGGAGTTTTTACAGTTGGAATATGTAACACTTATTGGCTGTATCAGACAAATTGATTTGAAACAGTGTAATAATGGGTTTTTTTTTCAATAATCATCACAAGAATAGAAGAGACAAATGCATTTTAGATGAGGTCTCTGATCAATAGCTAGAGGGATGAAAACTCAGAGAGAAAAGAGTCAAGTAGAGAAAAAAGGGAGAGACACAAAGAGAAACAGACAAAACAGACAAAACCCGAAGGCTGATCAAGCAGAAAATTTCTTTGAGGAAACGGGATGTACGGCCGCTGAGATTTTATGGCCTTACAAGCGTGGAAAAGACGGTTGAGGAATCTTGATCCTTTCCTGGCTGTTAATAACATGCAAGATCCCCCGGAGCTAAGTCGTCACTGCCCTGTCAGGATGGCTTTTATTGCAAATCACGTAGCCCCCCCCCCCTCCATGTTTTCTTGAAGCCATGAGCTGTTTTTAGCGATTGTATGTGATAGCTCTGTGTTGGCCTTGGTGGTATCTTTCTGCATATGCGTGCACTTGTGTGTTCCTGCGTGCAAACCGCTAATTTCTGCAGCACAACGGCTGTATGTCATGTCAAGGATCATCTGTTGTGTGACACCCATGACAGACCCTTGTGCGGGGTCCATGCTAACCCATGACCATTACATTGCTCCAGCTGTGACAGCTGTGGAAGATGGCATGATGGTGTGCGTGTGCATATGCGTGTGCGTGTGCGTGTGCGTGTGGGTGTAACTTTGGGGAATTTGGTAGCTAAATTGGAGGCGAAGGGACAATGTGGCTGCAGGGTTCTCAGTTTTATCCTTTTCTGTAGGAAACAGCTTGCAGTTGTAGACAGTCCCTGGAGGAAGGCTGGACTGATTCTCTAATGTCCACAAGAGCAGAACCCAGCACTTCAGAGTAGTTCAGATTCAAAAGACAATGCTCTTGCCCCCCATGTGTCATTCTATCTGCACAGCAGTCTGACAGCTAATTTCTCATGCTGGTCTATGAGGGACTGTGAGCGCATAAATCTGAATTTGTATACTTTTTTCAGGATTTGAATTATTTCTCCTTCTGTTTCACATTTTCCAAGACTTAATAGTCATATTTTTTAGTTTTTCTCTCTCCGGCACTTGCCTCTTGACTTTCTTGATTGCGTCTTGACTCCTCTGTCATGTACCTGCACAACTAGGTTGAGAGAACACTCTCTGTTTCCCTCAAAGGCCCTTGTCCTATTGTAGGCAATGAACATACCTACTGGGACCAGTATTTAGGTCACCTACCAAACAGGAGAGAGACTTGTCACCCATCACGTGTTTAGCTCCTTGTTATTTGTTTCTTTGGACCTTTCCCTGAGTATCAACAAAAGGATGATCTAAATCAGGCAGTGTCCGATGTCGGAGCCCTGTAGGACAGAGTACGTGAGCGATCATGATTTACAGACCTCCACAATTGGCCAGAAGAGTCTGTGATGCAGTTCTCCATTGGGAGCGAAGAGATATTTCCTTTCTCTCAAAGTGGAAGACATAAACTATGGATGCAGGAAGAGGAGAATCCCGGAACATCATGCTCACATTTTCTGTCTCAGGAGGTTCAGCAATCACAGTGCTCCAGTCTAGACTGTAGAGAGCCAGACTGTTTGAATTCAAAGGCCTACTGTTAAATATTATGGCTCTGTGTCTTATGTTTGTATTGAATGCTTCGTTTAGGATGGTTAGGTGCAATAGCCTCTCAAGGTTTCGGTTTAAATGTGTTATCTTGTCAATAAAGCCTTCACCTCACATGTCCTTCCCGAGGCAATGATTCAGTTTCCTGTTGCACAGTCGATGGCTGTGGTTTTACACCTACTGTTTCTGTCAGCAGGATATGGGAAATGCAGCAGGGCTCTCTGGAAGGAAGAAGAGTTTTTACTTATTATTAGTTCTGTTAGGCTGTTGGCTAATGTTTCTCTTCCTTTTAGTTTTAAGCCACGCTAGCAACATGACTCTATAGGATAGCAAATGTTGGCCTGTCAGTCAGTCAACTTTTGGTGAAATGTGTCTACAATTATTTGAAAAATAATTATAGATTCCCATTAGCTCCAGCTGTACTTTGTGTTTAGTTGTACAATGTAAGTATGTTAGCATACTGAACTAAGATATTTAACAAGCTAAACATTATACTTTGTATACTTTGTATACTTTGTATTTAGCTCAAACCACCAATGTGCCTGTAAATACACCCACACAGAGCTGTTAGCAGCTGAAAACTAAGTCTTGTTGCACTATACTTAACCTTACCCTCTATGCACATCCATCTTTGTTTTTAATTTGGTTATCCTATCCTATCCCTCTTTATAATAATTGATATGCTAAACTAAGATGGTTAGCATGGTATTCAGCAGCAGCGTATTAGCATTGTCATTATGTGTATGTGTATGTATGTTAGCATGCTGGTATCTTTGTTTTTGTTTTTTTGTTCATCCAACACCTCCCTCTTTATAATACTTTGTATGGTAAACTAAGATGGTTACCATGGCATCATACCATCTAAGCAGCGGCATGTGATCACTGTTATTATCAGCATTTTAGCATGCTGTCATTAGCATTGAGCTCAAAGTACTAAACTGTGCTGTGCTTACTCTTATTATGAACTATTACAGCCAATCCAAAGGCAAATAGTCCTCCACAATCACAAACATTTAATAAGAAGCGGAGAAAATTCTCACATGAACCCTGACCCTTTTTCTTATGGTGCAATTATGAATTTCAGGGAATCTCACAATAGCATAAAGACACAACCCAAGAGCCCACTTTGCTAATTATCCAAATCCAGTAGTTGGTCCCATGTGTTTTCAACAAAGAAGGTTCAGCCTCTGTGTTAGTGCTCCATTCCTTCCAGGGATGTATAGCCTAAAGGTCTATCTGGCTAAGAGTGGTTGGATTGACTGAAAGCTGTGTAAATATTAGTAAAGACGAGCACTTGTGCTGCAGAGCGTGATGTTTCCTTCACTCGTTCTTTACACTGACATGGTCCCTCTTTTTTCCCTTACAGGAGATGTTTACATACAGCCAACACAGGACACAAAAAATCCTGTGATATATGGAGTCTTCTCTGTCTCTGGGTTAGTGTACTATAACATATGCTGTATATGCACAACAGTAATAATGGGCTTGAGATAAATTTTCCTGACGTTTCTCTTCTTCTGCTTCACAGTTCTGTCTTCAAAGGCTCGGCAGTTTGTGTCTACTCCATGGCCGACATCCGCATGGTCTTCAACGGACCCTTCGCCCACAAGGAGGGTCCCAATTACCAGTGGGTGGCCTACACTGGGAAGATCCCCTACCCTCGCCCCGGCACGGTAAGCCTCACCTCATACTGACCCTACACATGAAAATCCCACAGCAATAACAGTAATTTCTGGCATAACGTGATGTTTTCTCTCTGACTTAGACTTCAAATAGAAACCATATGAACAAACTAAACTAAAAATATTATTGCAGGACAAGCTCTCATTATGTTTTATTCATATGATTATATCCATTTATTTCATGGATACTCAGACTCTAAATGCTTCTCTCTCAGTGCCCTGGAGGTACGTTCACCCCCAACATGAAGTCCACTAAGGACTATCCAGATGAGGTGATTAACTTTATGAGGAATCATCCAGCCATGTACAATGCCGTGTACCCTGTACACAAGCGCCCCCTGGTGGTTCGGACCAACGTGGACTATGAGTTCACAACCATCACTGTGGACCAGGTGACAGCAGCAGACGGCAACTACGAAGTGCTCTTCTTAGGAACCGGTGAGTGTTTATAAACTTTAAATTTCATAAAAATGAGGGAAGGAGTCAGATCTCTGTTTTTTGTCTGCTTATAAAATCGTCAGCTTTTTTTTAGGGGCCATTTTTAAGTGACTAATGTGAACATGAAGTCAGCATGAACCTGTGAACCCTTTGATCAGAGTGAGAATAGTGAATGACAGTGTCAGTGGGAAGCTGAATAATGGAGAAGAAATATCCCCCCCATGGAAATAAATCCCATGTAAGTGGAGGGCTTGTCTCGTTTGCAATCATTTATCATTAAGAGAAAAGCATTCTTGCCTTTTGTGCTCGAGTGGAAATTTAACCAATCAAAGGGTTTGTACCTCGCTCTGTTCACATGAAGTAAACAACAGGAGATTTGTACCTGGAGGGCAGGGGTGGATCAACAGCAGGAGGGAGAGAAAAGAAACAGAAGAGGAGAAGAGGAGCAGGAGGGGGCTACAGTTAGTATATCCATCACCTTAATCTTGCCCACTGGTGTAAGAAAGATTATCTGTTTGTCTGCATGGCTTGAACCTTTAATAAGACCTCAGGGTGACAGCAGCAGCCACAGCACAGTGCGCAGCCCTCACAAATTGCACATGACGCCTCTTAACTCGCTTCTTTTGTTCATCTGTGCATTACGGGGAGGACACTAATGGGTTTGTGTGCGATGGCAGCCGCTGTGGAGGAATGTGCGTCCTTTGAGCTGCTGTCAGAGGCAGCCATTCAGCCCTGCGTCGAGGCTCTATGCAGGAGCCATAATAAATCTCAGGTGTCCTGCTCACAGGAATGCCGAACTCTTTGCAGAAATCAAACATGCCAGAGAGGGCCTTATGGCATCCAAATGAGTAGATCAGGGTAAGAATGAAGCTGTGGATGACAGAGGAGGTTTGTCATGGTGGCGGCAGTTACACACACTAAGTGGAACAGAGCCTCGCGTCATTGAGGAAAGGTTAAACTGGAGAGAACCACATGACAGAGGTGAAGAGTACAGTGGAGCCTGTTGATATGAGGATTATCCCCTGTTGGAGGTTGCTGAGAGAATAAAATGGGAATCCAAGGGGCTGTTGACAGTCGGAGGGGTGAGAGGTTGCAGGTGTGTGGCTGACAGGTGTGTGTTGTCGTCCGCAGACAAGGGGACAGTTCAGAAAGTCATCGTGCTGCCCAGAGACGATCTGCAGACCGAGGAGCTGGTCCTGGAGGAGGTAGAGGTTTTCAAGGTAAGCCTTTCTCTTCTTCTATCATACTTTATCTTACCTCCTTTCACTTCCGTCTTTGTTCTCTGTTTTGCATGTCCTTCAATCCCTCCTCCTCCATAATACATTTTTTGTGCTGTCTACCTGCTATTAAGATAACACACTGTGCTCACAATAATTTATTTTCTCCATCAAGGTTCCTACTCCAATCACAACAATGAAGATCTCATCCAAAAGGGTAAGCATTATCTGTGCAACAGATTTTCTTAACCTATGCCGACATATAGAGAAAAGAAGCCACCTTCTAAAGAAAGGAAATGAATGACACAATCTGGAAAGGTCACAAGCTCCATGTATACAGCTGTGCTTCCCTGTTGCTTCATAATTCTCGTAATACACGCACGACAAAGGGAGACAATGAGGAGAGAAATGTGGAAAAGACATTAAAGTTTAGCGTTGTCTTTCAAAGTGAATAAAAGACTTGGCCTTTCCTTCATGTTATGACATCAGTCTTCAGACAGAGAGTTAGTATTACACACAGCCTGCCAAACTGATGAATTTGAACAGCTGATCATAAAATTGATGGCAACTTGATAGAGATGAGCTCAGTATTCTCCCAGATGATCCAGAGCCGTGCTGCTGTTTCAGCACAGAGCAGGAGTACGTTTTAGTCTCATCTCATTACATCCACATGGGTTCATTAGGTCTTCTAATGGAAGCAAATACTTAATTGTGATTAATTTAATCACACTGAATTTATAGGACTTAGATGTTTTACTTTGAAAAGCAGTGGTCTTCAATTGTCACTTTCAAGTTGTACAATTTCAAAGACTTCCAAACTTCCTGATTATATTTATAATTTGCAAACATAGAAAATTGCCAGCCTTTAAGTGTCTAAGCCTTTTTCAGAAACCAGATATTTTTTGGCTTGACTTTGCATTTTTAGATCCAACTTGAGCTCACTGGATTATAGCAGCTTGAATACAAATTTTGAATATTGGGCCCTGTCATTTTCTGTCTAAATTTGTGAACCCTAAAAATACACTTGGAATGAATGTTTTTGAAATCGACTATTGAGAATTTTAGTAATGGCCACTATTTTCCTTCATATATTTGGCTCAATTTCAGTATCAAAGTGTTGTCCAGTGTTGTGTTTAACGCCATTTCTTCCTTTTCTTTCCCTCAACAGCAACAGCTGTATGTGTCCTCTGTGGTAGGCCTGACACAGCTGGCTCTCCACCGGTGCGACGTGTACGGCGAGGCCTGTGCTGACTGCTGCCTGGCCAGAGATCCCTACTGCGCCTGGGATGGCAAGTCCTGCTCCCGTTACTCCGCCTCGCAGAAGAGGTGAGCACCAACAGCAGTGACAGCACGAGTTACACTAACTTCACAACTAACTAACTGACTGACTGGACTGCTGTGTTGAATGATGAATTAGACTGCGGCTGAATGGCTGTTTTAAATTGCACTCCAATCTGTATCAGTGATATGTTCATCATGATGTTTGGTTGAACTGTGGTTAACAATACACTAATGATTATATAAACAGTAAATGATGTAAATTTGCATATTGCAGTGACATAATAACACGATGGGGTGGTGGTTTGTGGTTACCTCTGTTTGAATTGAACACTTCAATGGCTTCATGTATTGTTGAATGGCTTTGAATGGCTTGCGGTTGCTTTATGATGTTTTCTCTCCTTATTCGGCAATACTGGTCTGACCCCTTTAGACGTAGCCGGAGGCAGGACGTCAAGTACGGGAACCCCATCCGCCAGTGCCGAGGCTTCAACTCCAACGGTAAGACGCATGATCCTCAACCTCTTGAGTTTTCTTTTCTGCTTTTATTGCTTCTATTTCTTCATTAATGAACTCAGAGGGTTGGAAATAATGACAAGGCTCATTGTTGCTGCCTCCAAACGGTTCAAGGTTTCCACTGTTATGGGCTGTAATGACTGTATGACTGGCAGCTTTATGGTAATCTGTGGAAGCCGTGTTGCTAGAAGGACTTTGATTTTTACCACAACTGAGATTTTGGTCCTGAGGAGCTCATGGTAATGAGTGTTTTGGTTGCCATGGAAATCCCTGTCTCTCTCTGCCCTGCAGCCAATAGGAACACTCTGGAGATGGTGCAGTACGGGGTGGAGGGAAGCAGTACCTTCCTGGAGTGTCAGGCCCGCTCTCCACATGCTGTCATCAAATGGCATCTGCAGAGAGACAACAGCGACCGCAGGAAAGAGGTGAGCCACCACACAGTGTATATTTCTCAAAGTTTATGGGTATCTAAGCTTGTTGTATTATGGGGTAGTTTAATATCAATTGAATTAGCTTGAACTTTTCTGACATGGATGAGTATTTCCACAGATCAACATGAATAATTTCTTTTGGACACAACCACCACAGTATTTCATTTCATTTTGTTACTTTGTTGTCATGGGGAGCTGGCCATGTATACTCAGTATGACACACGTGAAAAATGAGTCCAGTGTAATTCTTTTCAGATTATGTGTTAACATGATTAAATGTCTCAGGCTCTGATTGAGCGATGCCTGATTTCTCTCGCAGACCTCCACTGTCCTCAGGCCCAAGGGAAGGACACATAAAGGGGAGCTGTGAAAAAGCCCTCTGCTATGATATACAACCCTGAGGCACTAGTTAAAGTTTTATTGTGTAGCTATGTAGTGTTGCTGCCTGTCTTTTATTGACTATTCTGTTGGATGGTCTCTATTCCCACCAGCAGAAACCGACTTTGCTGCTGCCTTGCACATCAAATTCAGAACAAAAAAAGCTGTCGTCACCTATTCAGATTCCTGAGTGTAGATGTACAGAAAGGAATGAAATCATAGAGTTACACAACTGCTTACTGTCTGACTACATTCAAATTGATCTTTTTGTCCCCCTTTTTTTTAAATAAAAGATATTAATCCACCATACAGCCCAAGGTAGAAGGAATGGAAACAAATATGAGAACATTATTCAGATATGGACTCTAAACAGATACCTACAGGATCCAAGGTTTTGCGAGAATAGTCTTTTACCCCCCTCCCCTCACTGACCTATCATATGATTGATTTATGTGCCACCAAACATTGCACTACTTCTTCATAACTCAGTCAAATCAAAACCCAGAAACATTATACTTACACTTGTAACCCACTCTTTTACTGTGGAAATAGGTTCTCTAATGTCCTAGAGGGCAAATGCCCCTAAATCTTCATTAATCCAGTTGGCTGTACAGTGTGAACAGGAACTGCTAATGGCTGAAGTAGCAGGACTTTCAATGACAGATACAGATATGCCAAAATGTAAACAGTCTAGAGGCTATAAACACAAAGTGTGTATATAGTTCACCAGATTCATTATGTTGTGAAGGATAAAGCTTGAATGATTTTGCACAGGTGCTATTTTTACCATGGGATCCAGTACTGAAGCCTGGCCTCTTGCATGATGGGAAACTGAGATGAAGTTAGGGAGCATCTCAAAAGTGCAAAATGGTCAAAAGAGCTTTTCAGATTTTTGTTAATAGCTGTCTAAATTTCTATTTTTTTTTTTTTCTGGCACTATTTTCATCGAAACTTCTCTTTTGGACCTCCTCCTGTTACAGTATACATACTGTATACACTACCTCCAGATTTGACAGAAATATTGTGCATTATGGTCCAGTACCAGTCCTGACTTGTATTTTGCCACTGTTAAAACTTCCTGCCCTGCGTCTACCTCGACCATAAACAGTTACTCAGAATAACTTTTTTCTTTTATTGTTTCCTTTATTTTTAATGGCATTTGCCATATGATTAAAATATTGTCTTTCAAATTTTATTTTGTATATATATGGAGTTTGATTCCATTTAGTATGAGTTGTGCAGATGATTTCTAACAACTTCTGGTGGAGTTAACACCCACATCTATAATAAACTGGTACACATACGTCACACCTCAGGTGTTTGATCAGCTGTTTGTCTCTCTGTCTCTGCAGATGCGTTCTGATGGTCGGGTTTTAAAGACAGAGCAAGGTCTGCTCCTGCGGTCTCTGCAGCCCTCTGACTCCGGCATGTACCAGTGCACAGCCACTGAGAAGAACTTCAAACACACTCTGGTGAAGCTGCAGTTGGTGGTGCTGTCGAGCCGGGCCGTCAACAGCGTGCTGGTGGAGGGCGGGGGAGGGCTGGTGCCGTCTGCTCTCCACTCCAGCAGCACCCAGTGGACCCCCAGCGCAGGCCAGTACAAGGACCTGCTGACCATCCTGAGCCAGCCAGAGATGAGCCTGATCAATCAGTACTGCCAAGACTACTGGCAGTTCGGAGACCCGCTGCTGGGAGCCCTCAAGGCCAAAGACCTGAAGGAGCTCAAGGAGCAGAAGAAGCCCCGCAACCGCCGGCATCACGGGGAGGGGGAGGAGAATGAGGAGCAGGAGGAGGTAGAGACATGAGGAGCCCAGCTTTGTGTCTGAAACACCCTCAACCACCTTCCCCCACCACCCTGTGAAAACTGGGAGAGACTCATTGAGAGTAGCTACGTGAAAAAAATCCACAAACCGGAAAAAAAAGCAAACTGAGAAAAAAGAGGCTTACAAACAAAACCCCACATACATCCTCTCAAACAGTAAGATATATGATACACAGTATTTATTGTAGGTTGTATATAGCATCATTCTGTGGATTTCTTTGTACTTATAGAAAAAACATGCTCTTTGTGTATAGGTACCTTTGGGGCAAATATTATTGTTATTATTGATGTTGTTAATTTTATTGTTGCTGTTACTGTCATTACAAAAACTCATTTGTCAGCATCATATGACCTTTGGCGACTGTTTGGAATGTGTTATCAGGCATGTAAGCTGTTAGGAGTGAGCTACGAGAGGCTCTCTGTGACGGGGAAATGAGTTGTTGATAAAGGGGTGATGGGATCTCTTTTGTTTCTTGCTTGCTTTGACTCGATGCCAGGGCTCTTTTATTTCTGGACACTTCAGGAACGCCGGTGGTGCAACCTCCTCGTGGCTGCATGCAGACAGAGACTTAATAATGCAAGGGGACCATCGACACATGGTCCCAATTATTGTGGGGAAACAGTACTTTCTCCACAGGAACCTATGTTGCAATTGGGCCTTTTAATAGAAAGCTGATGCTTGTTTTTTTCCCTCTATTCCCTTCTCGATTTGAGGATTGATTTCAAAATGATTCAGCATCTTTGCTACATGTCAGCCCAGATGCTAAATCTAATTGAGGAGAATAACATTTGCAAAACAAAAGAATGACAAATTTCTCACTTGTACTCTACTCTGAGTAACCTGTAGCTCAATGAACTCAAGTTTGAAAATGAGTCATAACTGAAAGAAGCAAGCATCAGATCATTTTTTTTTTTTTTTTGATAAAATCTATCTGGCATTATAATGGTTGGGTTCTTTTCTAATGCAAACATCCTTTGAACTGAGAGTGAGGTGCAATAAAAGGGGTCAAGGTTTTGCACAAAGGGCATTATTCTTTTACTTTCAAGGGACATTGGCTGGGGCCAAATGCAACAAGCACACTCGGGCAAGGTATAGTTGACTATTGTATAAAAACAAATCCAGTTTAAAATGAAAGAGGTGCCCAGATCAAGCAGTAGTTGTTAGCTTTGAGCACACAAGACATCTTTTGTTCTTTCTTCCTTTGACATTCATATGTGGAAAAAAAATAATTGCCCATATACACAACAGAGCATTGTAACAATGTTGTGACACTAACCAAAATATTGGGAAGCTGGCTTTCATTGTGTGCATGAACCTGTATTTGTACTGTAATTCTGATAAGATACTGTGTGGTCGTTTTATTTTTTTTTCTGTTCTTCATCTCTACGGGTGTACAGTACGGTCTGAGGGACGTTCTCAGTACAGCAACATGGGGAAAACAAATGCTTTAAAGATGCCCTCATTTCAAATACACCCCTGTATGAAGCATGATGCATTTTTTCATTGGCATAAATTTAGTTCTGGCAAAGTGAATCTTGCTTATGTGTTTGGACAGCACATAATAGCACAATAATGACATATTGATAATGATAATGACATGAAGTGAGCAAAGGTTCTACTATTCTATTAAAAATATTAGTACAGCAGTTCCCCAAGACGTGAATTAATGGAGTTTCATGTATAAGACTATACAACTGGGAAAGTGGCTTTTAACACACCTGGTCTAGCTTCTATTCAGGCCATATGAAAGTCAGCATGAACGCCTCTGGGAAGTTTGCATCCATAATTCATATAGGGGTATCTGTATCTGCTCCTCAAGTTGGGATTTGTCTGCATTCCCAGAATCAATCACAGCTCCTGATTGTCTCCTCCAAATGAGACCAGGGGTTTCTACAGCAAAAAAAAAAAAAAAAAAAAAAAAAAAAAAAAAAAAATGCAAAGAGAGGTTGTACAATTTGTTGGTATTTTTAAAAATGTGTCTTTAGTTTTTGAGTGTTTTTGTTTGTTTTGTATTTTTTGCATCATCAGACTTTATGAAAAAAAAGAAAAAACACTAAATGCACAGAGGTGATGTTATTGTAATGACTTGTGTAAATTACTTTATCTTCCCTTTCCATTGTTGTTGCTGACTAATAAATTAAAGCTCTATATTTTATAAGAATGGAATGCTCCCCCCCTTCATTGTGATTGGCTTGATACTGGATGTTTTCCATGTTCTGCCCAGAACCCTCTGGATCCTTGGAATAAAGTTGTACCTGTTAAAGAGATATGTATGCACATTTGTATAAAACATACACATTGCATTTGTGTTTGTAATGGATCTACTGGTTATGAAAGGACACAGGAAGAGATTTGTTCTGTCTGTACCTCTGGGCCTAATAGATATGGATTATGTTAAAACCTAACCCCCATCAGTTAATGACAGATGAGGCTTGATCAGTTTAAAGGTTCATTAACACAGATTTTTATACTTAAGTAGATAATCAGAATATACCTGCAGGAGATTTATCTAGGGTTGTTAAACAATACTCATTTCTCAACAAAATGTCCAAAGACATTCTACCTTTAACAAATCTCAATAAACAGACCATCCCGCATTTTTATCTGGTCAGTGATGAAGTATAGTACAACAAGCCATTGAGAAAACAGTTATTGTACATGATGTATTCTATCTGCATTAACATAATTGTTAACATAACTAGTTTTACTTTTCATCTTAGAATCTCATTTATTTCTTCTTTTACAAGTCAATGGCAGCCAATGAGACTTTTTATGGAAGCCATTTTGACATGTGGCAGTAGGAGATGTAGTAAACACATCCGGTGTAAAAAACATCCCTTACTTGCGTCTGGGGGATCCCACCCAATTGGAAAAGCTAGAGTAGAGTCCCCAGGCATAATGTGCGTTCCCTCCATTAGCGGTCTTCCTGCTAAATGAATGTAACCAGATTTGAAACCTTTCACTTTTACTTTTAATAGCTCAGGTCTTAATAATGGCAACATAAAGTTGTTTATCAGGTAAAAACCACTAGCTAAATATTCTTTTCTTGCATTGTGTGAGCTACATGAGCAAGGTATTCAAAATTACGTAACAACCTGGTTGACATTGGCTAATGTGCAGGTGATATTAGCATGTAGAGGCTAATATTTCTTTTAGTCCATGATTAAAACATTAAAATCAGCCTGTCTTCAGAACTTAAAGATAAAACATAAAATGCTGAGCATGAGAACTGTAACGTAACTGCACTGACAAACAAATATCACCATATACAACAAATTACGCTTTACATTAGCTAACTAATATTCAATGTTAGCATTAAGTTAGAACCTTACACCTTGCTAATGTTAAGTGCTAGTGCTACAGAGGGGGTCAGCCCTATGTTCCCACATTTCTAAGAATGTTTTGAAAATTAGGCCCTATTTTCCCACAGTCTTATATGTTCCCATAAGCCCATGTCCACACTAACCCGGGTAATATTTATCTGGTTAGCCCTTCCGTCCACATTAGAACGGTGATTTCGTAACTGAAAACGATGCTTTACAAAAACGATCGCTGAGGTGGATAAATGTGAAGACGCCGTGGAACATTGATGCAAAGCGTTCTGAAAGGGTATAAAAGGGGAATATAGGGCTGTGGGAACATAGGGCTGTGGGAACATAGACACGCTCCCCTATAGAGACTGTAGCTTAAGTTACATTTGCCTAGTAAGGCATGAACATTTAACTGTCTCTAGTTTGTTACAAATGGGATTTTATTTCACTTCTAGCATATTTTACACAGAAGTTACAAAATTGTTATTGTCAGATTAACCATGAAAGTGAACTTATTTGCTTTTGTTTACATTTGGGTCAATGAAAGTAACACACCTCATGTCTCGGAGGTGACACCAGAGGACTCTGCTTCTCATGTTTATCCCTCTCACTTCAGGTACTGGCAGTCTAAATGTTGATGCTGAGTCTGAGACATATTTGTTGAGTACCCCCAAGAATTTCACAGTTTCTTACAGCCTCTTACAGTAATTTTTATGGCTATATGAGGGCATTATGGACCACCAATGTTACTGTTCATTGGTTGTACAATATTTCATGATGCTCTGCACTCCCAAGATCCCTTAGTCATCAGTATTGTTTCCATCCTATAAGAACTAATGATGCAATATGTGATGGGAGTTCACAAAGGCCTATCTGGCTCACAGCACCCGAGGGAAAAAGGCTGTTGTCAGGTCAGAGCAGTGTCAGTCAAGCTCATCAGAGTTTCTGCGCCTCATAAAAGCCTTGATGGCAGAGCTGACCCCAGATCAGCACAAGAGTGACTCACATTCTCCCACAACAATCTAGGTCAGGAGTAAAGTGGCAGAGAAGAAGAGTGAGAGAGAAGAAAATGGGCAGTTGGAAAAGAGCAGAGGAGAGAAGTATGTAGAGCACAAGCATTTTACCTCATGGCAGCACCATATGTTGTACTGAAGAGATTAAGACACAAAACATCCTTATGTTGTTAAAATGAACATAATATATTTAGTTTAAGTAGCCTATGTGATTTTATTCAGTGCAATACGCACCGTGTATACTGATACTGTACATATACAGTACATGCAACGATGCTTTCAAAAGTAATGTCATAAATAGTTTTTATTTATCAATTAAAGTCACATATGGTCCAGTTAACAGAAATATATATATATATATACATATATATATATACAGTATGTATATGAAGTCATTATTTGCTGTGACCAGCCTTTGCCTTTAAAATAGCACTAATTCTCCTTAGTGCACAGTTTTTCAAGCTACTTGGCAGGTAGGTTGTTCCAAGCATCTTGAAGAACTTTCCACAGTTCATCTGTGGATTTCAGCTGTCTTAGTAACTATAACTAATTGTTGTTTTTTTCTTGCAAAACATTATGTAGTTTTAACTGTTCAAGCCAATAAACATTTGTTTTATTTGACTCTGATTGGACAGCTTACAACTAAGTGACATGCAACATAATAATGCTGTAGATATTCCGTATTTTTCTTATTGTCCATAAATCCTATGAAAAGAGCTAAACCCATAATTTATTCATCCTTAACACATCCTGACTTCCCCAGTTTTGTTGATCTCAGCCCATAACCAATTTGTTCTTGCTGAAGATATAAATCTTCAAAATGTGTAATGAATATGCACTATGCAGTGTTTGTTACCCAGTGCAACAGTATGACTCAATTATGTGTTTTAATAGTTTTTGGACAGCTGTTCCTCACAGAGGAATAAGATATAAAAGCCTACACAGACAATACTTGCGAGTAGGGTCAATTTATTATTGGTTTTGCTCTTGTCATAGAATTTATTGACAATACCAAAAATATAGAATATATCCGGCTTAGGTATTTGTCATAAAGTGACTGTTATAAGTTATTGCAGTGCAGGAGCAATAGAGGGCTTCAGTGCTATTCATCTAAGACGTATGTTAAGTAAAATGGAAAGGCTAGGTTAGACTGAAATGCTCCAAATTGTCACTTGTCATAACAGTGATTTAATAGTGTAACGGACATTTCGGTCATAAACAAAACGTGCATTAGCAACATCGGCCAATCAAAAACGCTTTTGTTGTGAGCCAATCCCGAGTCAGGCCTCCGCAGCTTCCTGAAGAGACGGTCAGCACTTTGAAAAAGATATATTATTCCAATATATTATAATAGTTCCAAAAGTAAATTACTGGTCCTCACATTGGTTCCTGATGGGTACGATGTTTTTTTTTTTTTTTTTTAATTTGCCACACGTGTGACGGCTTTTCTGTAGTCGAGCTACTAGCTATCTTAAAAAAAACTTTATTGCACGCATTACAAATGGAAGAAACAAGATGGTGGTGAGGAACATAATGGAATTGGGGATAACGTGTGTGGATTATCTGACGTTTGGAGTCCTGGCTGACTG